ATTTGAAAACATATAGGTTAACCTAGAAAGAGTAGTCACAGAGGATATGTTTTAGACTTTTAAAACATTGTATAAAATAATTGATTGAAAGATCAAAACACAATAAAAGTGTAGGTCAAACTCATTTAGTTTTATTAAATATCACGGGGTAACACCATTGGGGGACATTTTGTGAGATTCACCCATGTTTACAATGTCTACAATTATTTGTTAAAATTTGAAAACAAAGATTTAAAATTTTCAATATGAATTATCTTAGTATCAAAAACTCATATGAAAAAACTTCATTTGACTTTTTGATTTCTCCTTACCAGCTCTTTATATTAGGGCTTCTAAAAATATATATATAAAAATTATTAATTTTGAAAATCTGTATTTTTTCTCACCCTGTGCAACAAAATGGATGTTTATCAACGCGAATCGTGTTTATATAACAAGGAAAAGAAATTATGAAAAATGTAGTATAGTTAAGTCCATCCGTGGACACACTGTATATAGATTAGGGTGCTTCAAAAAATAATAATTAATTTTTTTTTCGCTCTTACCCTCTCAAATGTTTCTATTTAATATAAAAAAAATCCTCACCAAATATGGGCGTTCCAGCTCAACTCTAAGAGGTCGCTGTTTTTATTTTAGTTTCCCATTTAATTAACATGGGAAAAAATAATTAATGTTTGGAATTTTATACTACTGTATCAAAGTAACTGTAATGATAATTGCAGTTTTTTATATAAAATGTAACGCTCTACAAAAAAGGTCTCTCATTATTTTTCGATAAATTGATTTCTTCCAGAGTTATTCGAGGTCAAAGTTTGATTAACATTAAATTTTCTGGTTTTTTTAATTTTATGGTACAATTAGCAGACAGGAGGTGAAAGGGGGCAAAACAATGCAGCGGGGGGGGGGTCAAAATGGGGTACCCAAAAAATTTCGTAAAAAAAAATTTTTTTAGATTGTTTTTTTTCGGTTTATATACCCTAATGTAGATATAAAGATTTATATAATAACTATGCTAGTTAAATTACTACCTAATAAAAATAGTTAAATTTAAAAAAAATATATAAAAACAAAACATTAAGGGAAAAAAATTACACAAATAATATATTTATGATGTTAATGTACTAATAATTAAGTAATTATATTAAACAAAAATAATTTTACAAGGTATACCCTTGATTTTGTATCAGCTAGATTGGCAAAAAATCACACTGTTATCCGTGCCAACCCGTTTTTAACATGGAGTGCGTTGTTGTGCACCGAAACTTTTTGTTTTGGGGCACATCGGTAATCCGTGCCAACCTGTTTTTAACGTGGATCACGTTGTTGCGCACTGGCGGCACTTATCTCTTTGTATGTTTAATATCTTTCCTTTTCTAGTAAATGTATCGAATATCAAATAAAATGTAGGTTTTTTTTTTTATTGGATAAAATGTTTGTTAAATACCCACGGTAGGCCTGAAACCAGTCTATATTGACCGGATTAGCACCACGTTTTTTATGACATATTTCGAAAATATATATTAAAATAAACTCAATCACCCGTTTATAGCAAAATTACCCGAGCCGTTTCGTTGGAAATCGAAATTTAGGGCAAAAAATCACGAAAATAATTAATTTTGCTTGCAAAGCATTTATTAAGGTTATTAAGAGTTATAATGACATTATAACAATCAAAATTGAGTCCTCCGGGAGAAGAGATTTTACTATTTTTCCATGGAGCCTACACAAGGAGCCCGAACTTCATGTAAACAAGAATCTTCCTAAGATAAGAGGGCGCTGGTGTACTACCGGCCCAAAACAGTAGAGGGGTATAACCAGAGATGGCGCCACTACCTACCACTTATTATTGTGCAAATAGTTGAGGTTATGCAACTGTCAGTTTATCGCTTTCTAAAAACAATGTACCTAGTTTTGTGTATAAAGGTCTTAATTTACAATAAATTTATATCAAATTTAACATTGGAATTTATGTTGGACTTTCTGATGTAGAGCATAGTACAGTTTTTTATAAATACGTGTTTTTTTCTATAAAAGAATGTCGTGTGGCGTGTAAAATCAACAACAACAAAAGTTCAATATAAACAAATAAAGGTGGAAATTATTAAATAGCGGTGTATTTCTAACCTGGAAATCTAATTTTGCTTCTCCAGAGTCGTAAAATTACTTCACAGATTATAAAGAATCACTTATATTTCACAACCAAAACCTATTCATTAGCATTTACCTACAAGGTACAGCCATAAATAACAAAACGATTCGTACGTCAAAACATTATTGCAAATCAATTGTCAAAACTTACTTGCTTACTTCACATGTATTTTCGATACTATTTTCACGTCATACGGACGCATTGACAATCAGCGCCGCTGGTGGTGAAAAAAAAAGACTTAATTTGTGCAATTTAGTGGACAAGTTTTGTCAATTTTCCCTATTAAGTTCGGGCTCCTTGTGTAGGCTCCATGTATTTTTCCGTCAGGTGGCACTACAACAAAAAGTCATCTGTCAAACTGTCCACTTTACGGACATAGTTGCTAAACTACACATTGAGCTTATACGCTGCCGAATAGTTTATTGTCAAATTCTGTACCTTATAACAATGAACGTTAAAATGATGTATGTGAAAACTCATGCTGGGACCCATGAAGAAAATCGCGAGTTTGATTGTTATGTTTCAAAAAGAAGGCGGATATGCGAAAAATTTCTGGAACTCTTCAGAGCGCGGTTCAGGACATTTTTCCTTTTAATCCTGAAGACAACCGTCTTCAACGACTCATATGCTGTGCTTGCAAAATATATATTTACCGAAAAAAAGGATCCGAATTCGTCTGCTGTTCAGATACTCAATTTCTACATTTCCTTCTTTACCAAAACATACAAGGAAACAATATAAAATAAAATGTCAGTGCAAATTGTGTTCGTAAGAACACTGGGACATCTTATACAGAAAAATATCAGTGTCAAGAAAAAATTTGCCAAGCAATGTGCAAGGTGTAGAAAATCTTTGCAAAAAGGACTAGCACATTTTTGGTATAAAACGCACACTTATGCAAATCTAGTCGAGTCATTTCAATCAGAATTGCCTCCAAAAGTACAGGAACATTTATTAACTGATCTGATTAAAAATATAAGCAATATCAATATTCAAGATCTCGGTGCTGACATGCACTTATCTCGACGCCATGGTAAACCTCCGAAATAATAATACAAAAAAACTAGATAAACAAATTCGTGCAAAAGAGGTTTTAAAGATTGGAACAGATTTTGGACATTCAACAAATACTGTGGCCTTTGCCTTTGTGAAGTATGGTCTGTAGACTCTAGTGGTGTAGCTGCGAAACTCATTAAAAATAAAAGAGATACACCTTGCACATTGCTTGGCAACTTTTTTCTTGACACTGATATTTTTCTGTATAAAATTCTGATGTCCCAGTGTTCGTAGGAACTTGCATAATTTGCACTGGCATTTTATTTTATCTTGTTTCCTTTTATGTTTTGGTAAATAAGGAAATGTAGAATAATCGGGTGTCTGAACAGCAGACGAATTCTGATCCTTTTTTTTTCGGTAACTAAGTATTTTGCAAGCATTACATATAAGTCGTGAAAGACGGTTGTCTTCAGGATTAAAAGGAAACATGTCTTAAACCGAGCTCTGAAGAGCTCCAGTAATTTTTCGCATATCCGCCTTCTTTTTAAAACATAACAAGCAAACTTTTTCGATTTTTTTAATGGGTCCAAGCTTGAGTTTTCACATATATTATTTAAATGTTCATTATTATAAGGTTCAGAATTAGACAATAAACTATTCTGCAGCGTAAAGCTCAATGTTTAGTCCAGCAACTATGTCTGTAAAGTAAACAGTTTGACAGATGACCTTTCGTTGTGGCGCCACCTCACGGGAAAATAGTAAAATCTCTTCGCGCGAAGGACTCGATTTTGATTGTTATAATGTCATAATGACTCTTATTTAGTAAACCTGATTGATTTGCAAGTTAAAGTATTCATTTTTGTAATTTTTTGCTCTAAACTTCGATTTCCGACGAAACGGCTCAGGCAATTTTGCTATAAACGGGTGTTTGAGCTTATTTTAATATATATTTTCGAAATCTGTCATAAAAAACGTGGTGCTAATCCGGTCAATATAGACTGGATTTAGACCTACCGTGTACCTATTTAAAGTTAATTTAACTAGGTTTAAAACCACTTTAAACTTAAATTTATTTAGTTGAGCCATAAAACCATAAAATTGGATTGAATTTATTAATGTGATGTAACGAAGAATCAGTAGCGTAACTAGGGGGGGGGCGGTCCGCCCCGGGCGGCACTTCTTGGGGCGGCAAAAATTGTGAGAGAAAATGCGAAAAAAACTGGAAGACAGAATATAAAAATAAAAAAAATATTTGATAATTAAATATTCTCTTTCGAAATAATATAATTCAAATTCCAATAGATTTGAGATTTATACAAAAATATTCCAAATCAAATAAAGCTAGCAAAAAATAGTTGTTTTTCTTTACCTAGGTCTAAGAATTTTTGTTTGTTTTTAATTCTTAAAATATTACAATTTAATGTTATATATATATATTAGGGTGGCCCAAGAAAAAAGAATATTTTTTTTCTTCTCGACTCTTGTGAAAATATGTTGGTTTGTCATGTTTTAAGAGCCCTGTCAAAAGATCAGCACCATTAAAAAATTTTTAGGGGTCGCTCAAGATTTTTAAAACTTACCAAAATCGTCAAAAATTGAATTTTTGTTTTATTTTAATTCTTTTTCTCGTCTCGATATTATTTTTTAGGTTGAAAATAATAAAAATTCTGTAAATTTCAAATCAATATTTTGATTTCTAAAGGTCGCTAAAAGTTCGTTGATATCTATATTCAGAGGTCGCACGAAAACATTCAAAATACTCTACTTTAAAAGTTAAAAAAATCTTGAGCGACCTTAACCTAACCTCTCTTCCCCCCCCCAAAAAAAACATGAGGGCGACAGCCACTGCTGCCCCGGGCGGCACTTTTTCTAGTTACGCCGCTGCGAAGAATGTTTATTAATTCTGTTTAAATGAAATCAACAATTTGAAATTTAATTACAGTACAAAACAGAAGTACCAATAATGTGAATAAATAATTAACTAGGCAAAATGCATAACTTAAAACATTTTAAAACACTTTAATCATTAATAATAATCAATTATTCCCAACCACTTTTAAAAACGTCATTTGTCTCTTTGGATGTAAACGGCCGCATTTAAAATCAATTAAAAACCGTTAAATCACTTAGATGGATCGGATACGACCTGCATAACATATTTCCACTCAAATCAAGCAACACCGGGGGCACTTTTTCGCGCGGAAAATCAAGTCACCGGGTCCGCGTCACGTATTATCGACGCTCGATTCTTTTTCTTCCAACTCCTCGAATGATGGATGGATGAAATGTTATTGGGTTTCCGCGAAAATGCACTGAAACACTTGCTTAGCGCACGTCCTTAAGTACGTTAGAGTTCGTTGGGCCTGTCGAACAGGTAATTCTTCATCATTCGTGCCGCGGCTTTTAGTGGCGTCACCGCGTCGTCGAGAAGCTGCTAATCAGGGCGGCTGTGACGAGGGCCAGCGGCAGGGGACGGGCCAGTACCGCCGACGAGAAGGAGTCCGTGGCTCTGGAGCGGTGGCCTCTGGCCGGCTCTGCCAAACCTGCACACAAGAATAATGCCTAATAAATGCTTACAGATAAGTTAGGTAATTTAAAAAAACCTAAATAAATAAAAGAAAACCAAAAAATTATTATTTATAGTTTTTTTCAATTTCAAAAAAAAATTACTTTAACAACAATAATTTTATTTAATAGATTAAATAAACTTTAACAGCAACTGACAATCATCTTATAATAAATATTATGACATTGTACAGTTCAGGGCTCCCACACCTCCTAAAACTCATAAAATTCATAAAATTTTGCTTAAGTCTTGAAAACTCCTAAAATTCTCCTAAAATGGCCGGCAATCTCCTAAAACTCCTAAAAATTTAATATAAATAGGCCAACCTGACTGTTTAATTACTTAAATTTAATATTATTAATGAAACTGACTTTTTAAGTAAGATAGTAATTATTAACACGTGATGACTGTCAAAAATAAGAGGCGCTCAAAACTATAAACATGTAAAAAAGGTACTTTCGTTCTTTAGGAATGCGATGCCTGATTGGTGGAAGCGGTTCCGATTGTAGCTGAACACGAACTTTTGTCAAATATCGTGTCGTGGATGAACTTAAAACAGTAAATTACCGCCTATGTTTTGTGCATTAATGCCATTATTTCAGTGGCGGCTGGTGGATTTTGGGTATACCAATATCTCAGTTATAAGACAAACCCAAACCAAATTTATAATAGTTTATAATGACATTAAATAAATAAGTTTTGCGCAAACAGAATTTAAATTGAAGTTTGCGAAAAAAAGTTAGTTTTTCCTGGTGCCTCACCCGCCTCCAGGCCCCCCTATTTAAGATTATTCAAATTAAAGTGGTGCAATTTATTATCTACTATAATTTATCAACAAATTTAAAATTTTATTTAAAAAATTCAAATATTACAGATTTGTATTCGATTTTAAATTTTTATTATTTATTTTATTAAAATAGTAAGTAAGTAAAAATGCCGTATTTAGACAGAGAAAGACAAAATATTTTAACTTATTATCTAAAAAATAATTTAAATATTTCAGAAACGCTTGTATTTAGGTTTATGGTATATTATAAGAATTATGCTTAGAATTTTACAAGTAGGTAATCGAAAAATAAATTCATATATAGGGTGATCCATTGAGAAAAAATAAACTTTTTGTTTTTTCCTGTATACTGATCAATTTTCCAATTTTTTTATACATAAAAAAAGTATTTTTCAGTACCTACATAACCACACTTTTAAATTTTTTTGAGACACTTTAAATAAAATAGTTAAAAGGGGGGGACCTTATAGGGGATCAAAGAGATATTTTTTTATAGTTTTGTAAAAAGACTTATTTTTTTTCTCCTATTTTTTAAGTACAATGTAGTTTTTTTTATTTAATTACAAAAATTCATTTGCATACTTTATTTCTCCTAAAATTCTCCTAAAATTATCCAAAAAACCTCCTAAATTCCTAAAAAAAAGTTTAATTTAGCCGTGGGAGCTCTGTTGGGGTTGGGAAAATTTCACTTTTTGCTTGTACTTGAAATTTCACTTTAAATTTTCACGACATTTATGAAATTTAGTAAAATTTCCTAAATGTCTGAAATTTCATGAAATTTATGAAATTTATTGAAACTTTCAATTAATTTCAATCACTTTAAGTGTAATATATTAATATTGAAATAAGCCCACTCGGTGACCATGGCAAATTGCCTCTCTTACCTCCTACCCCTCTGTGGGCCCCTGCACCAATAATATATATATAGTAAATACCTATGTTTACCACAAATTTCTTGAGATTTCCTTTTAAAATATTTTTAAAATTACTAAAACTAAGAGAGATATAGCACTTTTTGGTAAGCTAATGAGATTGTGACACTTTCATTGTTTTATATTTATATATATTTATTATTTTTATATATTTTACTGAAATTTTACAAAAGAAACTTCATCAAAATTTTATGAGCCAATGGCATTTTTTATTCGTTTTCCGATGCAATTATAGCAAAAGTAAAAGTTTAAATTAATCATGACTTTAAAAAAAAAAAATTAAAGTCTGATTTAATTTACAAATTAAATTGGTAACTGAATTAAATTATTTAAATTAATTTATGCATATAAGTAACAATAATTACTTATAGTGTTACACTGTGTATTCAAATCCAAGCCGAACTAAACAAAAACGCCCAGACGCTTGATAACTCGTTCTTATTGGTCGATTCGGAATCTGTTGTAAATTATTATAAAAGGTCCCAGGGGAGGCCGCATGTGAAATTTATGCGAAATTTTCAGTAAATTGCGAAACTTTCAATGAAATTTCTGAAAGTTTCACAGGCAATGTTGAAATTTTCGAATTGAAAATTTCATTTGAAATTTTTAAAAATTTTACTTTTCCAACTATATGAAATATTTCAAGTTTGAAACTTTCAAAGTTGAAATTTTCACTTATAGGAAATTAAACGCTGCACAGGGTGATCCCCTATAATGTCGCCTCCCTTTAACTTTTTTATTTTAAGTGTCTCAAAAAATTTAAAAGTGTGGTTATGTAGGAACTAAAATATACTTTTTTCTATGTATAAAAAAAATTAAAAATTGATAAATATTTTTTTTCAATGGACCATATGAATTTATTTTTCTATTTCTTGTAAGATTTTGAGCATAATAATAATAATAATAATAATAATAATAATCATTAATAATAATAATACCGTTTATTTGTTCAAAAAATACCATAATACAATAGTGTATAACATGTCAAAAAAAGAGAAATTAATTAATACAAAAACATTTCCATAAATCAAAAGATTGAATTGTCGGTCAATCCTGAAACATTTTTTTGTAGATAGGGAAAACCTCTGTTGTTAGGTTTTGCTTGTATCTTGTATTTTAATTTACAGTCTGTAAATATGATCTTGACTCTTAAACAAGTCCTCATTTTTTTTAATGAATATTACTGCTTCATATACAGCCCGTTTAGAGTAAAACCGAATATAGGGAAACGTATAGGGCGTGGCTTAGCCTCCCTCCAACGCGCGATACAGTAGCTAAACAAATCGCTAGTTAGATTTTTTGCATTATTATCATTCAATTTTTAAGGTCGTCTTACCTGCTCGACCTTTCGTCATGTCGTCACACAAGCTACTGTGACGCGCGTTGGAGGGAGGCGAGGCCACGCCCGATACTTTTCCCAATATTCGGTTTTACTCTGAACGGGCTGTATGTATAGGCCAGCAAGTGTCAGGATATTATTGTTTAAAAAATAATTCATATAACAAACCATATACCTAAATTCAACCGTTTCTGAAATATTCGCATTCGAAATGTTAGAAATCAAGAAGCCTCAGTATAACAAAATTTTTATTGAAAATAAATTACTATAGTGACATTATGTCAATATGTCTTGTTAAATAAGTAAAAATGTGGTACTCAGACAGAGAAACACAAACTATTTCTACTTATTATCTTAAACATAATTTAAATATTATATATTTGAGAAACGGTTGAATTAAAGTATATGGTATGTTATATGAAATATGCTTAGAATTTTACAAGGAATCTAAAAATAAATACATATATAGGGTGATCCATTGAAAAAAAATAAACTTTTTTTTCCTGTATTTTGAACAATTTTCCAATTTTCTTTATAAGTAAAAAAAAATATTTTTCAGTACCTACATAACCACACTTTTAAATTTTTTGGGACACTTAAAATAAAAAAGTTAGAGGGGGGCGACATTATAGGGGATCACCCTGTACAAAAAAACTCTCTTATGATTTTTCGATAAATTCACTGGTTTAAAAGTTATTTGACTGCAAAATTATTATTATTTTTACACAGAAAAAACGCTAGCATATCATGAATGGGTGAGCAATTAAACCAATGGGATCTTGTAATCCGTATTCCTGAATAACAGTTTCTATAATACCAATAGGTAGTTAGCACTTGGTTTATAATCGCTTACTGTTTTTAAATTAACAACAAAAGTTATCGCTCCTAAATCTATTGATGTTTATAAACATTATATATATATTGATATTTATTTTCATTTTATGTTAGAATCTTATTGCATTAAATACCTACTAATTTGATTTATTTAATAACGTTACCACATTTAACGCAATAATGACATTTAGGCAAAATGTTTCCCTATTTTCGTTTAATAGTAATTAATATAATTGAGCAGATTGCTTCAATTTTAATGCATTCAATGACAGCGATGTTCTTCTATGTTAGATTTTTTTATGTGTATGAAAATAAATTGTTAATTTTTAAAAATATTTTATTGTATTATTGAAAAAGTAAAAATTATTGAAAAGAGATAAGTAAAAATTATTGACAAGAGATTCCTATAATATAAAATTACTTTTTTGCATAATCTTTTTATTTCTGTAAAATTTTACAAAATTTTATACGATTTTACAAAATATTATACAATGAAAAATTTCAGCTGTAGCTAATGTAGCTAATGACGTAGAAATTCTTATGAAGAAATAAAATTTGTAGTTATGCATGCGCACTAAAGTATGATTTAGTACTTTGACCACAGAAGGCAGAAGTTGCACTTCAAAGGTTTCGTGTCGCAAAGTTGAAGTTTGAACTAGGTCAATCACCCATCGTCTGTGGCATCTCTTATATATGTGGCATCTCTTATATATGTGGCATAATTATATAAAAGATATTATAATAGTATAGGTATTATGTATCAAGTTTTATAAACTCCATTTAGTTACGAGTTTTATTAGGCACGAGCAAAGCTTATTAAAAACGAGTATCTAGATAAGTTTATAAAACGAGTTGCATACTAAGTATACTTTATCTACGACGAAAACAAAAAAGAATTTAAAGCCAATTATATTTGTTGACATCTGTCAAATGTCAACGGAATTAACCTCACTTTTCCCTAATATATAATAAAGCTAATTTCAGCCCGAGACTAAAATGCCCAAAAGCCACTACTTATTGCCAATTTCAGCCCGTGACTAAAGTGCCATAAAGTCACAGCTCGTCAATGTAGAAGTAGATAATAGTATATTATGTATCAAGTTTGATAAACGCCATTTTTACTCGAATTTAATTTAGGCACGAGCGAGTTCTTAAATTAATGAGTGTATAGAAAAGTTTATAAACGAGGTGCATACTATACTTTTTCTACGACAAGTACTTATTATTATCTTAAAATATTTTTATAAAGCGCCATCTATGAAACAATAGGGGAATCTGTGTGTCACCGTCAAATGTCAAATTTTTATATTTTATAAACACAGATTATAAAGGTTATAAATCGAAATGTTTTTCTTGAAAATGGACAGTTTTTTACAGTAAAAGTAAAGAAAATGTTTTATGAGCACTTTACAGTGGAGTCCGTGCCCGAATTTAACTTTTAGTTTGCCGTTTATATAAACTTTTTAAATATTGGCGTTGAGAAACTATTTAATACTTTTGTATTTTTTTATTGAAATAATAAAATAATTTTCACATTTAGTATTATTTTACAAGAAAGGCACTTTATTTTAACGATTGTATGACATTTGACAACTGTCAACTAACTTAAAACTAACTTCAGCCCGTGACTAAAAAACTGTTGCTAACTTCATCCCGTGACTAAAACGCCGTAAAACCATAACTTGTCAATGTGTATTTAAAAGGTCACTTAGTGTCATGGAAACATGTACGATAATGGTCGTTTTAAAGGTGGGAGTAGATAATATTATATTATGTATCAAGTTTGATAAACGCCATTTTATACACGAATTTAATTTAGGCACGAGCGAGCTTGCCAGCGAGTGCTTAAATTAATGAGTGTATAGAAAAGTTTATAAACGAGGAGCATACTATACTTTTTCTACGACAAATACTTATTATTATCTTAAAATGATTTAAATCAAAAATTTGTATAGAGCGCCATCTATGAAACAATAGGGGAATCTGTGTGGCGCCGTCAAATGTCCCATTTTTGTATTTTATAAACACAGATTATAAAGGTTATAAATCGAAATGTATTTTTTGAAAATTGACAGTTTTTAATAAATAAATTAAAGAAAATGTTTTATGAGGACTTTACAGTCGAGTCCGTGCCCGAATTTAAGTTATAGTTTACTGCCGGCGAAATTTAAAGATCAGTACAATGTTCATATAAACTTTTCAAATATTGGCGTTGAGAAACTATTTAAAACTTTTGTATTTTTGTATTGAGATAATAAAATAATTTTTACATTTAGTATTATTTTACAAGAAAGGCACTTTATTTTAACGATTGTATGACATTTGACAACTGTCAACTAACTTAAAACTAACTTCAGCCCGTGACTAAAAAACTGTTGCTAACTTCATCCCGTGACTAAAACGCCGTAAAACCATAACTTGTCAATGTGTATTTAAAAGGTCACTTAGTGTCATGGAAACATGTACGATAATGGTCGTTTTAAAGGTGGGAGTAGATAATATTATATTATGTATCAAGTTTGATAAACGCCATTTTATACACGAATTTAATTTAGGCACGAGCGAGCTTGCCAGCGAGTGCCTAAATTAATGAGTGTATAGAAAAGTTTATAAACGAGGAGCATACTATACTTTTTCTACGACAAATACTTATTATTATCTTAAAATGATTTAAATCAAAAATTTGTATAGAGCGCCATCTATGAAACAATAGGGGAATCTGTGTGGCGCCGTCAAATGTCCCATTTTTGTATTTTATAAACACAGATTATAAAGGTTATAAATCGAAATGTATTTTTTGAAAATTGACAGTTTTTAATAAATAAATTAAAGAAAATGTTTTATGAGGACTTTACAGTCGAGTCCGTGCCCGAATTTAAGTTATAGTTTACTGCCGGCGAAATTTAAAGATCAGTACAATGTTCATATAAACTTTTCAAATATTGGCGTTGAGAAACTATTTAAAACTTTTGTATTTTTGTATTGAGATACTAAAATAATTTTTACATTTAGTATTATTTTACAAGAAAGGCACTTTATTTTAACGATTGTATGACATTTGACAACAGTTACTGTCAACTAACTTAAAACTAACTTCAGCCCGTGATTAAAAACCTGTTGCTAATTTCAGCCCGTGACTAAAGCGCCATACAGCCACAACTTGTCAATGTGTATTTAAAAGGTCACTTAGTGTCATGGAAACATGTACGATAAAGGGCGTTTTAAAGGTGGGAGTAGAAAAATACATTTAACTTATTTGAAAAGGATAATTGGTGTAGCGGAAATGTCTGCATCTCATACTCAAGACAACGTATGCTTATCTACGAATTTTATTTTGTCGTAAAAATAATTGTTAAAAAAATTTCTAGGTCATTAGCTGTACTGATCAGCTGAAGGAAAACTTTTTATTGTATAATATTTTATAAAATCGTATAACATTTTGTAGAATTTCACAGAAATATAAAGATTATGTTAAAAAGTAATCGTACTAAAATTGGGTAAAACTAGTACCTGATTTGTTTAATAAAAGAAATTGAATTTATCGGAATCTCTTTTCAATAATTTTTATTTTTTTAACAATAATATAAAATCACATATTTTCAAAAATAAAAGTAAAAAAATCAAAAAATTACTATAAGTTTAACTTTAACCTTAAATAACTTTTAAATCAGTGAATTTATGAAAACATCATAGGAAAGCTTTTTTGTACAGCGTTCAATTTCCTATAAAAATGTTTGTCTCTTATTGCTGTATATTAACTTGCTCGGGAGAAAAAAAAAATTCTTTGGCTGATTTTATATAATTATTAAGTAAATTCGAGTAAATTAATAATGCAAACAATTTTGCCCCTTATAGCGGATTGTAAAATTTAGTTAAAATGACATATAGATCTTGGGTATCTTTTCCTATAGGAACAGTATACTGCACGTATATGTTAATAGTAATACATGAAATAATGAAATATATCTATACAGAAATTAACGTAAAAAGCTTATTTAAATATACCTGCATTAACACTTAAACCGTAAAATAGCAATTTAAATTTGCTTAAAGCAGCAGAAATTAACAAAAATAAAAAGCCTGACGGTGAATTTTCCCATAAATAGAGAAGAACGATATGTTGGGACATTTTATTTTATTGTGCCGTTAACGTTTGCATACGTTTAGTGGAATTTCAACTTTATTATCTTTTGTTTAGTTTAAATTTATGAAGTAAAATTACACATAGAAAGATGAAAATGGTCTTTATGGAGAAATGTTATACCAAAGCGAAGTTTCTAATAATACAAAAAAAAATATCTATATAAACTTATTGGCATAAATTTAGGAAAAAAGTCAAAATGGAACGAAAACCCAAATAAATATTTTTCCTAATTATATTTCCAAGATACAGGGTGATAAAGTGGTACTTATCATTTTAGTTTTTTTTAATATAACCTCTACTATTTGTCTTGGAAAGGTAATATTTTGCGAACAGTCACTTAATACCAAAACACATATTCACACATAATTATAATTGTTTGAGTGAACACAGTGTCGTAGAAACGGGCGTTGCTGTAAGCTTATTGAGGTTAGGTTTTTATAACATTTGATGCAATTTTTAGATTACACAGTTCGGCTACCATTAAAAAGGTGTACTTCTCAAACTTCGATAAAATAAACCGTTTCCGATATATTCGAGATTACAATAATTGTTATATAGCATTATTTAAAAGGATTAAAAGGTTATGATAACAAATTTTTATTTAAATTTAAAAAACTAAAAAGGGCATTCCATGAGCCTCGGGACTTTTTGCCCTAACCTTCACATTATAAAAAAAATGTAGTTTTTTCAATTAAAAAATTTGTTATCATATACCTTAGTCCTTGAATGCGATATAACAATTATTGTAATCTCGAATATCTCGGAAACGGTTTATTTTATCAAAGTTTGAGAGGTACACCTTTTTAATAGTAGCCGAACTGAGTAATCGACAAATTGCATCAAATGGTATAAAAACCTAACCTCAAAGTTTGTATGCGACAATAAGCTTAAGCAACCCTTGTTTCTACGACACTGTGTTCACTCGAACAACTGTAATTATGTGTGAATGTGTTTTGATAGTAAGTGACTATTCGCAAAATATCACCTTTTTAAGTCTACCATAGTAGAAGTTATATTAAAAAACTGATATGATAAGTAACACTTTATCACCCTGTATCTTTTAAACATACGTAATTATGAAAAATATTTATTTAGATTTTCGTCTTATTTTGACTTGCTTAATCTGCTCCTAAATTTATGGTACTAAGTTTAGGGACACCTTGTATGTAAATTATTAAATTTATCATAAAAAAGGATAATAACGTAATTTAAATTACTAGAAAATAAATATCTACATTGTAGGTCCTACAATCTTATTTTTCAAGAAGATTATTAACCATTAATTATAATTAATGTTTATAACTTACCTCCCACAATGGTAACATGGTTGTCATGAGGTCCACCAGGGCCTACTTTAATCTCTGCAATAAATAAAACACTATATAAATAAAAAAAGTATAACAAACATTGTAATAGTCATTGTTAATTTATTGCTTTTATTAAATAAAATATTCTTTGACATCAGCAGATCATTACAAAACAACTACAATGAAAATTTTTTTGTCAGCTCCGGATATTTTTTGTCCTTAATAGTTTTAAACATGTCCAGTGAAAATTTAGGACTCTTCGGGTTTTGGTTGAACTCTTTTGACAAAAATGACGAACCGCTTATAACGTTTTGTATTTCATCCTGAGAACATAGATTACTAGATTGTGACGAATCTGTTTGTATGGTGTACGAATCGGTCAAATAAACATTCTTCGATTTTATATTGTCGATGTCCTTACAGAGCCTGTCAACATCAAGCATACTTTTGGTGATTTCGTCGATTTTTTTCAGTGTTACACTTGTCGGGGTGGCTTTTTTGAAATAATTTCCAGTGTCTGTGAATTTGGTTATTTTTAGGTTTGGTAGTGTTGGCGCGGTAGGCTGGGCAATGCTTTCCAACTCTGTTTTGATTGATTTTAGTGTGTTCATTAGAGAGTCGTCATGTTCTGTTGGAGGGTCCGGTTCTAAACACGATATTTCGTCCAAAGATTTTTCCTTTTCTTCAATTTTGATTTCGTTTATGTATCTGGCCTCAAAATTACTACGTGTTTTAAATGTGCCTGATGTGGAGCTGGAGTTTTCATATGAATCATTCTCTAAAAGTACGTTTATTCCCGCTTTGGGTGTTTCTAGAGGTATACTTTTTTCAATAGCAGGGTCATCTGCTTTGTTAAAATAATCATCAACAGATTTGTATTTATGCTTCATGTTTATAATATCTTCTTTGGCATTGGAAAAAATATTCTTCTTGCGCCTTCCAGATTTTATTCTCCAAAGTGGAGCCGTCGACCGGTATTTTCTTCTTTCCATGTGTTTCTGCATTTCCTTGAGCTGCTTGGATGCCTCCTTGATTTTTTCGTGAGTGTCTTTGAGAAAATCAACCTGTTCACCAATGCTGTTCGTGGAAAATTTTGTTTGTATTGCTTTTTTTGAATGCGTTGGGCCGATATGCGATAAGCTGGCGTTTTTTGCTGTAAAAGGGTTTATTGTTTTACGCGGTTTGATTTTTTCTGGTGCTTTTTCGAAAGTTTTTGGATATTTGGATTTTTTTTCGAGTATTGCTTGCTCCAAGCCCAGCGTAGGCAGGTTTATTTTAACCATTTTTATTTCTTCTTTGTTTGTCCTAGGTTTTTCATGTAATTGGATTGGTGGTACATTATTGAAGAATGGTTTTCCTCCTTTGTGTACCATTCTTCCCGAGAGTGTGTCCCTGTACACTATTTGGTATTCTTGAAAATGTTTTTGTCTTTTCAGGCAATCGTTTTTTGTGGGAGATAAATGGTCCATTCTTAAAGTACTGTTTGGGTACATTTTTTGCATGGTTGTTTGGTGGTAGATTTCGGTATGTTTTCTTAAATGTCAAAGTGGACACATTTGTCAAAATTTACAACAAACATCAAAAACGTTAAAAAAATAGACAAGCTACCCTGGGGTTGGCTAAATAGGCTTACTATATGGGTCGTTTTCAAAAAATCGCTGTACGTAAGTTTGAATTCCAATAACTTTGTTATAAATAATCGGATCTTATTGATTTAAAAACCAAGTGAAAGCCTAACAAGCCCTTAGTAAACTATTTCAGAAAATGTTTCTTTAGTTGTCTCAGAATATTTTTTTTTTAATTTTTAAACTTGTGAAACACACATTTTCGCATGTCCCATTAGCCTTTTATAAAACTTACATATGTACATGTTATTTTTTTAAAATCGAATAACCAGAACTTTGTGTTGCTTTATAACTAGGGGCAACTAAATTATGCGTTTGAAAACTCCAAATTATGCGCAGGAATTGTGCCATTTTATGCGGGCAAAATTGGAAAAATATGCGCATATTATGCGGGCAAAAATAAGGAATTATGCGAAATTATTCGGGCAGAAATCAAGAAATAAGCGAAAAGTATGTGTACTTTATAGATTTGGAGGGAAATAGTGAGTTAAGAATGCATAATTTTCATTTAAAAAAAAATCTGAATAGGGAACTGCAGGTCACACACATAAAACAAGTGAGTGATAGTTAAACTAAGTAGTATTTTATTTTCCATATAGTATTTTGTAAAAGAGCAGACTAGTCAAATCTTTAAAAGTCAACATAAACATAAATTATGTTACATACATAACATAGATAAGTTATCTAAGATAACAATTACAACATTAGTAATGTTACATTACAGTCACAATAGACTATTCACCACACTCACATCACATTGTCATTTAAGTCAAGCATTGATTCATCCTTATCTTAGATAGTAGATAAGTTATCTACTACATCTCCATCACAATTAAAGTGCTCCATTTCCAACTTGCTGCCAAAATACATGCACATCATTGCCTCAACTTTATACTTTGTGAGAGTAGTCCTCCTGGAGGAAAATATGTCTCCATAAGCACTAAAGCCTCTCTCAGTGTCCACATTTGAAACAGACACATGGAACACTTGCACACAGGGTATCACGAAATTTACATATTCCCTAATCATAGAAATAAATGCACAAAGCACCAGATCCTCTTTCTCACCTTTTTTAGATTTATCTTTAGAATTTTCTTTGACTGCATCTGCTAAAATAGAGTGTAACACTACAAAATTTGATGATGGGAAGACAATAGACTTATTTTTTCTTTTGCTGCAATAACACTTTCAGCTAAAAGAGGATCAGTCAACTTACAGGAGTCAAACAAAAAACGAGAGGACTCAAAGAAGTCCTTCGCAGTATCCTCCTGCAACATTTTTTTCAGTTAGTCACAGCAGGAGGTGCAAACATCTTTCATTCTTTGCAGAATTTTTTTCTGTCTCCCCAGGTACCTCATTAAGACTAGTTTTGGTTTTTTCGAAATGTACTGTGCATTAAAAGTGATTTTGGCCAAATGGAAACCAGAAAAAGCGTAAATTATGCGACAATATGTGATATTATGCGCATAATATGCGGAAATGCAATATGCGGTGACCGACATCGAATTATGCGAAATTATGCGGACTGGAAATGATGCATACTGGACTCATAACAACCAAAGTGTTCAAAAATTGATAATAGCTGCACTTTTGAAAAAATATGCGATTATGCGCCCGCATAATATGGTTGCCCCTATTTATAACAATCCATAACGTCCTTAGTTAATACAGTAAACAATTTATATATAAAATAATTAATTTTAGTCTACTTCTTTTAAATTTGACTCATGTCCCAGACATTTTTTCCGTTGCGTTACTTCCGTCGCGTTACCGATAGAATATTAAAAAAAAAACATATATATGGCAACTTTTTTGGCACTCACGTGGTCAATAAATGATGTTCGGACGTACACATTACCCAGCTGAATTTATTTATTTAATCAGGAAGATGATATCGGTTGAAACAGGTGCGGGTAACGCAAATGTAATAATAGTTTGTCCGCTAAGTTACTCAAAAAAATATTAAAAATAAGGTAAGAAAAAATACTATTTTTCATGTTTATGTTTATTTTAGGGCACTAACGCTCATTGAGATTAATTAATGACTGTAATGTCCTATTATTATTTTTTAAATATGGTTTCACAAAACTTTTTCTACTGCGTTACCGAGTCCATTATGTTACCTTATGGTAACGCAATGGAATTTTTCGACAACAAAGTGGATATTTACCGTCGCTTTTATTAAAAGTAGTGTATGATAAACCAATTTAAAATTATTGGTGATTACAACTCATGATATAGATTACATCTAAGGGAAAATTCCACGCAATATACAAGTACTAAAAGGGACCTTCACCAGCTTATAGTCAAAGAAAAAAGGGTGTCTACAATTTAGAAATCTAAGTTGTTATTCTGCAAGTGTGCACCACTACAAGGGATTTTGTTTATGCATTACTCTAAAATCGTACCACCCTATATAGTTTCTTTTTTACGTTATCTTTGTGTACCCCAGTCCATTGTAATACCAATGTCTATTTCGTTACTCTTTTTAGTCTTTGTTAAAAAAAATACTTAAAATGATTTTTATACACTATCACTTAATAATACGTGTAAATTAGAGTTAAACTCACTAAAACAGTGACTAAAAGAAAATATTAATGGTATTGTTTTTTTAACAAAGAATCGAAATGTTTTCTTTGTAAAAGTAACTTAACGAACATACATATTTAAAAAAAAACATACAATTTTTAATAAAAAATAAAACAAAAAATTGGAGTCAAAAGTTTGTGAACTAAGTACATTTTATTTTAAATTATTTTTATAACAACTTTTTTTATTGGGTTTCAAATTGGTAACACAGTGGAGATATATAAAGCTAGCTAAACACATTTTTCTGAAAAAAACGTAAAAAAATATTAAAAAGTGCACTGCCTGTCTTAAATGTAAGTAAACAAAACTCTAAACATTTATAAAAAATCCAACCAAAAGTCAATTTAAGCAAAAAAAATTTGATCTTCAATTTCCTAAAAGCGGGTGTTTCTTGAAAATGACCCATATACATAGTAAATATTGTAAACATCGATGATAAATATTTTATGTCTTTACATTGTTTTATTGCTTACCGTATAGTCGAAGGGTTCCTTCTGCTCTTCCAAGGGAATTAGTGGAAACGCAATTATACGTTCCGATGTCTGATGTGGAAAATCCCCTAATAACCAGCCACATGAATACTTTATATCCACTGCGGTCTTCTCTAATAGTGTATTTGCTTCTGTAAACAAAAAGATAGGTCGATTAAAAAAAAAGTCAATATAATAATGTTATAATAAATTATAGACCAGGCGGAGAAAGCACATATTATTGCCGAGCATACATTTATTTAGTAGATTGTGTGCGAGGCAATCAATAAGCTGTCGCTTTTTTTCCTAGCACTTAATAGTATATTATGTATCAAGTTTTATAAACGCCATTTTATACACGAATTTAATTTAGGCACGAGCGAGTTTGCCAGTGAGTGCTTAAATTAATGAGTGGATAGAAAGGTTTATAAACGAGGTGCATACTATACTTTTTCTACGACAAAAACTTATTATTATCTTAAAATGATTTAAATCAAAAGTTTGTATAGAGCGCCATCTATGAAACAATAGGGGAATCTGTGTGTCACCGTCAAATGTTACATTTTTACATTCTATAAACACAGATTATAAAGGTCATAAATCGAAATGTATTTCTTAAAAATTGACAGTTTTTCACAGTAAAAGTAAAGAAAATGTTTTATGAGGACTTTACAGTGGAGTCCGTGCCCGAATTTAAGTTATAGTTTACTGCCGGCGAAATTAAAAGGTCAGTACAATGTTCATATAAACTTTTCAAATATTGGCGTTGAGAAACTATCTCGGAAACTATTTAATACTTTTGTATTTTTGTATTGAGATAATAAAATAATTTTCACATTTAGTATTATTTTACAAGAAAGGCACTTTATTTTAACGCCCGTGACTAAAAACCTGTTGCTAACTTCAGCCCGTAACTAAAGCGCCATAAAGCCACAACTTGTCAATGTGTATTTAAAAGGTCACTTAGTGTCATGGAAACATGTACGATAAAGGGCGTTTTAAAGGTGGGAGTAGAAAAAATACTTTTTAAGATTATGTCACATCGTTGTAAGGTTAGGTTCAACTAACATGATAACATTTTAGCTTTATTTCTGTACGGAATTTAAGAATAATAATAATTTGACATTTGAACTAGTATAAATATAAGTCTTTCTATATACTTATGAGTGTTATAATATGACAATTATGGTACGCTTGAAAAAAAATTACATTTATAATTTATAAATTATAAATGAAAGACAGAATAGTATGCTGAAGAAAGAATGCAATATATATACTTTTTTTACTATACTATTGTAAAACTAACGGATTTGAGTAAAGTTATTTTTCACTTTAATTACATTACTGTTATTTTGAAATGTAAAATTTTAAAGAAAGTATGTTGCACGGCCATTATGAGCGTGCCTACAAATTTAATATGATAAAATGTTCATCATTTTCTGTAAACGTCAACGATAAATCGCGAATTTTTTGTTCAAAAGGAATACAACACATTCATTTCCCTGATGGTGTTTGCTCGCATCTTTTTCCAAAAGTTGCTTTAATTTGGAAGCTGTCACACGTACCAACCAGTCGATTATGAAGCAACATGCAGTCGATTTTTAATTTAGGCATATTTCATTTAACAAATCACACGATTTAAAGATTATAAAAGGGCCGTTGTGACTTTTATATGCCGGGTAGGTACTAATAACTGTTCTTAATGGTAGATATATTATGTATCAATTTTTATAAACGTTATTTTAGTTACGAGTTTTATTAGGCACGATCGAAGCTTACGAGCGAGTGTTTAATAAAAATAGTGTCTAGAGAAGTTTATAAAACAAGTTGCATACCTACTATACTTTATCTACGACGAACAGAAATTAGAATTTAAAGCCAATCTTAATTCATAAATTCTTGATATTGGCGAATTTAGCCTTACTCTTTCGCAATTTATAATAAGGCTAACTTCAGCCCGTGACTAAAATGCCCAAAATCCACTATTGTTAACTTCAGTCCGTGACTAAAACGCCATAAATTTACAGCTCGTTAATGTAAGAGTAGATAATAGTACAGGGTGTTATGTAATTAATGTTATATATTAAAATACTGAATACCTTTTGACATAAGGAATAAAGGAAAAATATTTAAAAAAACATTTTTCCAAAGATAAAGAAAAAATATGCATTAGAAGTTTTTTATATTTTTTGTGATACGCCACTGGTTACACACTTGTTTATCTCTGCACACCTGTATTTTGTGAGTACATAGATACCAACCAACAAAGTAGCTATGCGTTTCCAGATGTAAAAAATTGTTACCTACTAAAAATTTTTCTTGCAAAAAATAAATAAAAACTCAATAAATACAAAAGTTTTATGCCCTTAAAGCTCTAATACCCTTCTGTATTTATTTACTGATCCAGCTATTAGCTTAAGCAATGATTAGAAAATTTAGTACCTTTGAAATTTGAAATCCATAACCACAAAATTAATTTTTTCATCAGTTTTTTTCTCTGTTTACTCAGATGAAATTGGGACCAGTTCATAGGTTAAACTTTAAACATTTAATTTGTGTAAATAAATCCAAAAGCACTTCCCTTAGTTAAGATATTTACAATTTGAAAACATAACCTAAAACTTAAAAGAAATGCACTAGATTCTGTCATAAAAGTTGTCAGATTTTGTTTGAATTTACCTTCAGTACAAAAATGAAATAACCAACAATTAATAAAAACGCCAAATTGACAATTTGCATTGTTAATTTTGTCAATTTTGTAATTAAGCTAAATTTTTGTCAACTTTTTTGAGAGATTTTGGAATCACTGTTGTTACCAACCATAACATAATAAATCCACCAGATTAACCTAAAGTTCCTAGTCGATCAGTGGCGTACTTTTTGGTAGGATAAAGATTATTATAAATTATTTTTAGACTTTGGAATTTAGAAAAAAAAAGTTTCAGGTGCTTCTTTATGGACCCTAAGGAACAACCCATTTTAATATATAACATTAATTACATAACACCCTGTATATTATGTATCAAGTTTTATAAACGCCATTTTAGTTACAAGTTTTATTAAGCACGAGCGAAGCTTGCGAGCGAGATAAGACCTGAAGATTAAAGTGACCAGATTCTGTCAAAAATTAGCAGGACATTTTGTGTAAATTAAGCTTAATTACAAAAATGACACAATCAACAATAATTGAGTAATGTCAAATTTACAATTTGCATTGTATCATTGTGTCAATTTTATAATTAAGGTAATTTCATAAAAAATGTCCCTCTAGTTTTTGACAGAATCTGGTCACTTTACTGAAGATGGTACATGAGATTGTACCGAAACGTCGTCAGACATACGGTTCTTTTAAGAACCAAAAACCGACAACACGGAGCAGATCCCAAAAAACCACCAATACATATAACGCCCGTGGAAACCTATATACACTAGGGTGTCCCAAAAAAAAAAGAATATTTTTTTTCTTCTCGTCTCTTGTGAAAATATGTTGGTTTGTCATGTTTTAAGAGCCCTGTCAAAAGATCAGCACCATTAAAAAAATTTTAGGGGTCGCTCAAGATTTTTAAAAATTACCAAAATCGTCAAAAATTGGATTTTTTTTATTTTAATTTTTTTTCTCTTTCCGATATTATTTTTTAAATTAAAAATTATAATGATTCTGAAAATTTCAAATCAATATTTTAATTTCTAAAGGTCGCTCAAGATTTTTTTAACTTTCAAAGTAGAGTATTTTGAATGTTTTCGAGCGACCTCTGAATATAAATATCAACGAACTTTTAGCGACCTTTAGAAATCAAAATATTGATTTGAAATTTACAGAATTTTTATTATTTTCAACCTAAAAAATAATATCGAGACGAGAAAAAGAATTAAAATAAAACAAAAATTCAATTTTTGACCATTTTGAAAATTTTTAAAAATCTTGAGCGACCCCTACAAAATTTTTAATCGAGCTGATATTTTGAAAGGGCTCTCACAGCATGATAAACTAACAGATTTTTACAAGAGAGAAGAAAAAAAAATATATTCTTTTTTTTTGGGATACCCTAATATACACACATGATCAAAATTGTTGCATATTTCTGTATTTTAATTTTCGCTTTGTATAACATTCTGTTTTTTGTTGTTTTGGAATAAATTTTCATTTAATAGTTATAATACGTAAAATATATAAAGAAAATTTAATATATTAAAGTATATATTTTTGTAGGAAATATTAAAAATAAAACTAAATATAATTTTCAAAAAGTGAAAAAAATTTATTAACAGAAACGATTTAGGTGAAAAAACATTTTAAATATAAATTTTATTTATAGAATGAAGGTGATTATTTTCTCAAAATTGTTTATAATTGTAATGTACACTATGTATTTTATTGTAACCCATAATATAACAAGTGGTATGATTATCATCGATGATATTTTCGAATTGAAACCGAGCTGCAGATTTCACGAGTCCGCAGGACGAGTGAAATGTGCTGTTTCGGTTTCAATGAGTAAATATTATCGATTATTAATCATACCACGAGTTATATTTAGTGAGAATATAATGAATTTTAGGATTAAAAAAATTGTCAGTTTGACATTTAAAATTAAAATGTGCTTTAAAATATAAAAAGACTTTAATAAACCTTATTTATTCAAACTCACCTTAATTTCATTATCGTTTACAACAACCCATCGATCTTTTCGAGTTTATAATTCATTATTTTAATGATATAACAAACACAGGATTTAAATGTCAACAAATGTCAAATCAAGAAAAGTGTCAAAATCCTTAGTAACGTGTAAACAAGGTGATAAAAATATTGTCGCTGTGATAAAATGCGTAACCATGGAATACTGGCATTTTATTGGTTCTAATTATAATGAATTGTATTGTCAATAAATTATTTATCTAAATACTGTCGTCAAAGTCATCATCCTCGTCGGAACTATCGTCTTCGAGGAGGATGATTGGTTCCGAAAATTTTATTTTTATTATTTCCTACAAAAATACTAATAATAATAATAATAATAATATATTAAATTTTCTTTATTTTACGTATTATAACAATTAAATGAAAATTTATTCCAAAACAACAAAAAACAGAACGTTATACAAAGCGAAAATTAAAATACAAAAATTTGCAACAATTTTGATCATGTGTGTA